TGCTCCTAAACTGGAGCAGGCATAATGATGTAAATTAATGCGGTCGGCAAGTGGTTAATGTTAATAGTTATTACCTACATGTTCCCATTTACTGTACAATGTGCTTGCTAGCATATTTAAACAATACCAAACAGTAAGCTAAATAAATACATGGCTATCTGTGAATTTGCGGATGTAATCTTTTATTTACAAAATAATTTATATAAGATAAACTAGAAAAGAACTAAATGTTTGTCATTATTATTCTCCATCTTTTAGCTTTCAGAACAATAACATTTTTCTTTCAATATTTTTCTAACTTTTCACAGTTAAATAAACTCACCAGCTGATGTTAATGAATTAAAATACATTTTCGTATATCAAAAGTAATTAAACCAGAGCATTCACAGGATTTGTCAGTCAAGAATGAGATTTAACAAAACAGGAATCATGTATCATATTTTGGCAGGTAAAAATTTAATAAATTTCAGACCTTATGCACACTTCTAAACACCTTTTCTCTTGGCAGGAAAAAAGCGTTTTGCAAATGAGTTTAGTCACAATCAGGTGTTTGGGCGTTTATTCATTTCAGTGTCCAGAATAAATTACTATTCTGACCACTGATATGAATAAACGCTCAAGAGCTCCTGAGCGCACAAGTGACTTGAAAACTCCTATGTATGTGTGGCCACATAGAAAAGGTGTTCAGAAAAGCTGGACAAACACCTACTCTGCATGAGGCCTGAAAGTTATTCAATTTTTACTTGCCAAAATGTGGTACATGACTCCTGTTTTGTTAAATCTCATAGTAGGCTGACAAAAAACATGCATGTTCTGGTTTAATTACTTTTGATATGAAAAACGAACATTAACATCACCGTGTGAGTTTATTTTACAGCTTCATTCCAAAAACAACTTTTAGTAATTTGGTATAGGTTAGGTTACTGCCTTCAGTAGATTGAATACTGGCAAAACAAAGCTGTAATGACAAGTCCAGTATAACTCCCACTCCCAGCATTGTTCAGTTTTGTTAGCAAGCAACTGCAGGAGTAGATCACAAGAAGAGTGGAGGGACTTGTATCCCATAATGTGCGTAAAGAAAAAAATTAACAGTATGGCAAAATCCCTCTTTTTTTAATTGTACGTTATGGGACACAGGATGAAGTAGTTCAGGTAACATTATGGGACACAGGATGAAATGATTCAGGTACATTGGGATGACCAAAAGCAGTACAACTGAGGGGTGGGCAACATAGTGGATGAAAACCAAGAAGTTAGCAAAAGGAGCTCAGGAAAAGCTCCCAGAAGAACCTTTCAATAAACTGAGACCTAAAAATCAACCTGGTAAAAAAAAAATAAAAAAAAATAAAAAAAACCAAGTGGAGCAGGTGGCAGCCTTGCAAATATGAGAAACAGGTGTACCAAATTAAAAAGCCCATAAATCACTAACCAATCTAGTGGCGTGCACTTTCACTCTGAAAGGAGGAACTCTGCCCTCGAGGTCATAAACTTGAATGATGAACTGACAAGTCCACCAAGCGGTAGTGGAATGAGCAGCAGGCTGTCCCCAACAGGAACCTTCAGGAATAACAGACAGCCAGATTGTCAAAAAGGAGCTGTAGATGAGACAAACTCGCACAACACATACCACATTTAAGCAATTGAGGATATTTAGGAGTAGGACAGAGAAATGATAGAACAATTTCCTGGTTATGTTGAAAAGGAGAAACCAAAAACCTTGTTCTTGTGTAGCACAAGAAATGATTCTATTGGTGGTTAAGGCTTCTCAGGAACTCGCCTCAACCTAAGGATAGACAAAGGGATATCCCTGATAGGTTCAACAAGTGGATTCTGAAGAGCCGGCATAATGAATTTGGTTAGCAGGGATTGCACAGGAGGAACAATGTAAGCAACACCTGTACGAAAACCTTCACTGAGGTGTGAGAGGCAAGTCAGCCCTAATTCTTCTTCCCAGCGAGGTCTGGGTACAGTTTGTGGCAGAACTGACGATCAGCTCATGCAAAATGAGCACCATCCAGTTTTGCAGCAATTGAAAAAACATGCTAAATGAAAAATAAATATTGCTAAAAAGAAAAGTTGTTTCTTCTCTAAGAGGAGAGAGGACGTCTCCTAGGACACTAGCAAAAACTAAGCCATGCTAAGAGTGAGAGGGGTTATACTAGGCTGGTCTTACATCTTTGTTTTGCCAGTATCCAATATACTGTAGTAGTATAACCCAATGTACCTTCATCCTATGCCCAGTAATGTATGATTAAAGTGGGAGTAAACTCCCACTGGACACTTGTACCTACAGGTAAGCCTATAATAAAGCTTACCTTTGGGTACAAAGAACATCTCCTAAACATGCACCGTTTAGAAGATATTCAGTGTCCCTGCAGCACGTGATGTCACCAGCGCATGCGCTCTGGAGGAATGGCATCCCTGTGTGTCAGTCCTTCAGAGCTCTGTGCCGAGACTCCCGTGCGCATGCGTGGGAGTGATGTCATTGCGGCTCACCCAATCAATTGCATTGCATTAGGGTTTAGGCTAGAGCCCGCAAACCCAGAAGGAAGACCAGGTTAAGATGGAAGCCCTGTCAGCAGGGAGGGCTCCGTTCTTTCATAATGTGCCAGTATGCAATGCATACTAGCAAATTATGACAATACCTTGCAGGGAGAATTTTTTTTTTTTAAGTCAACTTTACTACTACTTCAAGAAATAAAAATTTTTTTTATGAATTATAAAAAAAAGTCATCCTCAAAATAACTTCTGTACACAGCATTTAGGTAAGATAGGCACACACATTGCTGACAGCAAGTTTAATGCTTTATTTCACATCACACTGCAATAACACAAGGAGGGGGTTTACCAATAATCCAGGTTTTACTACAAAGCATCCTGTTATGCCTCTGTCCGGTTCCCTAAAGGGAGCCAAGCATCTGTCATCCAGTTTGAGGGATTAAGTTCCTCTTTATAGCGTGATACTTGTACCAATTTATAAAAAATATAGATATGATTTCTTAGTGCTGATACCAGTCTATATTTTGGCTGGAACTCTTGCTTTGGAGTTTGCACATGACAGCTGGTAGGAAATGGAGAGCACTGCAACCTCCCCCGTCTCAGTTACCACATTTCAGTTTCCATGGTGACTAATCCTGAATTGAATGGTTGTCTTTGTACATTTCTTTTCAGCAAAACTTTATGTAAACTTAACTAAAAATTTTGCCACTGATTGAAAAAAAGCCGCATGTGACTAGCAGGTACAGTACGAAGGTTGTGACCAGCAGACCTTGTATATTGAAACAGTAATGTAACACTAACTCGGGATAAATTCAGATCTTTTTATTTTCTCCCAAAATCCTGCACCTCTGGCACACAGCTAATTATTCTGTGGAAACTTTGTTCCAGCACCACGTTCTGATCTCTTCTGTGTAAGTAAAAGGCCTGGCGAGAGAGTTCTTGTATCATTACACTTTCAAGTGTGTACCGAGACGCTTTCACTTCTTAAAATGCAACATTAGGAACTTGGAAGATAAATTAAACCATAATTGCTACAATAGTGTTAAGTTTATCTTACTAGACTGAAAGAGCCCATTCACACTGCTGCAGTAAGTTGATGTACGTTATGCCGTGTGCCAATGTGCACTGTGGTAATGCAGCCTATTTAATTGAATGGGCTACCTTTTGCAACAGAACGCTCAAAAAATGTACCATTTCTGGCAGCACAACATAACACATATACATCAACAAGGTACCATCGATACAAGGGTATACAAGGGTGCCATTCAGAATCCCCAATGCGAGAAATTGTTGCAACATGATAGTGTGAATGGGCCCAAAAACATTACTAATTTGCATTTCCTTAGATTGTGCATCATCAACCATAAATGCCAGAAAATTTACCCTTTTTAAAATGCACCTGTCAACAACAAAAAACAAGAAGGAAAAGAAGTCAGGGGATTTTCTTAATTTATGCTGCTGCATGTGGCTGCTCAGAGAAGCAGTCTGCACAAAGCACCATGTAGTGTAAAAACTTGTGTACATACATTGTTCCCTTGCATATAATATGCTGTTGAACAGATATTGCTTTGCAGTTTGATTAATTCAACACATTATATGCAACTGCAAACAAACTGCTATTTTTTTCCTCTGTACATGCCAATATAGACACAAACAGAAGAAAATCAGAAGCATCTCTAATGCAATGCTATTGATTCGGACACCAATGCATGCTAATTCTTAAGTCATTGCAGAGCATGCACATTGACCGGGCAAAGAAGTCACTCGCCTTTTTTATTGCCCAATGAGTGCTAAAGTCAGGTTGGTCCACTCCATCCACTTCTACTTCCCAACTGTGCCCTTTAAAAGAAGGCAGGCAATTACATTTGCTGCTACAGTAGTCTAACTCAGCCTTTCTCAACCAGGGTGTCCAGGCACCCTGGGGTGCTTTGAGGTTTCTTCAGGGGTGCCTTGGCAAAATTTAAAAAAAAATTACCAAAACTTGTATACAAGTCAGCGGGTGGAACAAGCCTGCCTTTTAGTTACACAAAGCCACAGGTTTCATTGTGCACCATTACGACCTTCTAGCCACCGACATCCTGACAACCAATGACATCATCATTTGATAAGGAGGATGTCAGCTGCCTGCACAGCATCCTAGCTGACCCTTTCCTGCCCTGGAGAAAAACTGAGGGAGAAGAGAACCACTGGAATACTAGTCAGTACCAGTGTGCAAAAGTGTACTTGCTTTGGAAGAATAAATCACCTCCAATGTTGGGTGTTCTATGTGTGTGGATATTGCTGTGTTATATAAACTATTAGAATAGTTTTTCACATTCTATTTTAGAATGGGGTGACTGAAGACTGTCCATAGTTTTAACTGCCTCCCGCCCGCCATATAAGGCAATGACGGGCGCGAGGCGGTTCTCTCGTTCTGGGAGAATGTCATTTAACATCCTCCCATTCTAACCACGCATGTGCGGCTCCGGGAACGCACAGCACGGAGATCGGTGGTGCGCTGTGTCCCTCGGACACTGCGGATCACCGATTAACGGAAAGAGCCGAAGATGTCGGCTCGGTCATGTGATCAGCTGTGTCCAATCACAGCTGATCACATGTAAATAGCAACACCTGTACGAAAACCTTGTACGAAATGCTCGTTATCGGCATTTCTCTTCTCACGAGCTGTCATGCTGACAGCTCGAGAGGAAAGGAGAGCCGGTAATTGGCTTTACTCAGAAGGGACATGTGCACTGATCATCAGGGCACTGATGATCAGTGTGCCCTGATGATCTGTGTAGCCCCAGCAGTGCCACCTGTCAGTGTCCATCAGTGGCAGCTGTCAGTGCTCATCAATGCCACCTGCCAGTGCCCATCAGTGCCACATCAATGCCACATAGCAGTGCCCATCTGAGCTGCCTTTCAGTGTTACCTATCAGTGCCAGTCAGTGCCACCTATCAATGCCAGTCAGTGCTACCTATCAGTGCTGCCAATCAGTGCCAGTCCTATCAATGCCAGTCAGTGCTACCTATCAGTGCTGCCAGTGCTGCCTATCAGAGCACGTCAGTACCGCCTGTCAGTGCCGCCTATCAGTGCATGTCAGTGCCACCTGTCAGTGCCGCCTATCAATCCCATATATGAGTGCTGCCTTTCAGTGCCCATCAATGATGCCTGTCAATGCCCATCAGTGCCACCTACCAGTGTCTCCTCATCAGTGCCCATCAGTGTCACCTATCAGTGTCCATCAGTGCAGCCTACAAGTGCCCATCACTGCAGCCTCATTAGCGCACATCAGTGAAGGAAAAAAATCACTTATTTACAAAATTTTATAACAAAAACAAAGAAAAAACATTTTTTTTTCAAAATTTTCAGTGGTTTTTGGTTTGTTTAGCAAAAAATAAAAAACCCAGAGGTGATTAAATACAACCAAAAGAAAGCTCTGTCTCAAAAAAATGATATAAATTTCATATGGGTACAGTGTTGCATGACCCCGCAATTGTCATTCAAAGTGTGACAGTGCTGAAAGCTGAAAATTGGCCTGGGCAGGAAGTGGGTATAAGTGCCCTGTAGGCGAGTGGTTAAAGGGTGCCTCGGGACTCTGCCCATTTTAAAGGGTGGCTTAACCGAAAAAAGGTTGAGAAACACTGGTCTAACTCCACCACACAGCCAGAGCTCATTCCCACCTGCAGCCTTGATAGTGTACCAAATCCACCTTGCTTCTTCTTCTCCAACTTGAATGAATGAAAAGTTCTAGCCCGGGCCCCGATCCCTCCCTTTCCATGCTTGCTGGCTGGCACAATAAAGCACAAGCCATTTCCTGACCCCTGCTCCTACTGTGCCCTAGGATCTGATCATTCATCAACACTTCACCAGCGTCACCATTTTGCTGAGAGTTAAAATCATGGAGCCCAATACAATCTGTCCCTGGATGAAGAAGAACCATTGCCTTAAGCTGGCCATACATTATACTATTTTCTTATTCAATTTCCTTTATATTAACCTTCAACTATGTAGTGCAAGGGTCTGTCTGATTGCATACAAATTGAAAGCGTTTAGATGTGACCTCATATTAGAGTATATGGTTTTAGAAAATGTAAAGGAAAATTGTACAAGAAAAGTGTGCAGGCACTCAGAACACAAAAGCACAAGTTTATATATAATGGTAACCAATGTTTACAAAATGACCTGTTGTCATTCAAAGCAGTGACTGCTGCCTGACCTAGGTATACTTGAATGCTGAGAAGTAGAGAAACACTAAGGCTCCCAAGAGCAAACCACTCAACGAAATAAAGCCAGAAAACTGTACGAACACTGCTATGCAGTAGAGGGAAAAGGGGAATTGAATTCTCAGGCTGACTGACTAATCACTGCTCTCAGCACAACAGTGGACTGTGAATAGAGAAATGATTGGAGGTGTAGCAGTTGCAAATGTGACTTTCTTGGAAACAATCAGTGTAGCATTATTTGAAGTCAGTTGTCCACTGGGCAGGCTCCCTTAAAGTATATACAGTCATGGCCGAAATTGTTGGCACCCTTGATATTTCTCCAGGAAATCATGTATTTCTCACGAAACGTATTGCATTAACACATGTTTTGCTATACACATGTTTATTCCCTTTGTGTGTATTGGGACAAAACAAAAAAAGGGAGGAAAGAAAGCAAATTCGACATAATGTCACACAAACCTCCAAAAATGGGCTGGACAAAAGTATTGGCACCCTTTCACAACTGCGGATAAATAAGAATGTTACAAGCATGTGATGCTCCTGTAAACTCACCTGGGCAAGTAACAGGTGTGGGCAATATAGAAATCACACCTGAAAGCAGATAAAAAGGAGAGACGTTCACTTAACCTTTGCATTGTGTGTCTGTCTGTGCCACACTAAGCATGGACAACAGAAAGAGGAGACGAGAACTGTCTGAGGACCTGAGAACCAAAATTGTGGCAAAATATCAACAATCTCAAGGTTTACAAGTCCATCTCCAGATAACTAGATTTGCCTTTGTCCACAGTGCGCAACATTATCAAGAAGTTTGCAACCCATGGCACTGTAGCTAATCTCCCTGGTCGTGGACGGATGAGGAAAATTGATGAAAGATTGCAACGCAGAATAGTCCGGATGGTGGATAAGCAGCCCCAAACATGTTCCAAAGACATTCAAGCTGTCCTGCAGGCTCAGGGAGCATCAGTGTCAGCGCGAACTATCCGTCGACATTTAAATGAAATGAAACGCTATGGCAGGAGACCCAGGAGGACCCCACTGCTGACACAGAGACATAAAAAAGCAAGACTACAGTTTGCCAAAATGTACTTGAGTAAGCCAAAAGCCTTCTGGGAAAACGTCTTGTGGACAGATGAGACCAAGATAGAGCTTTTCGGTAAAGCACATCATTCTACTGTTTACCGAAAACGGAATGAGGCCTACAAAGAACAAAACACAGTACCTACGGTAAAATATGGTGGAGGTTCAATGATGTTTTGGGGTTGTTTTGCTGCCTCTGGCACTGGGTGCCTTGACTGTGTGCAAGGCATCATGAAATCTGAGGATTACCAAAGGATTTTGGGTCGCACTGTAGGGCCCAGTGTCAGAAAGCTGGGTTTGCGTCCAAGATCCTGGGTCTTCCAGCAGGACAATGACCCCAAACATACGTCAAAAAGCACTCAGAAATGGATGGCAAAGAAGCGCTGGAGAGTTCTGAAGTGGCCAGCAATGAGCCCAGATCTAAATCCCATTGAACACCTGTGGAGAGATCTTAAAATTGCTGTTGGGAAAAGGTGTCCTTCCAATAAGAGAGACCTGGAGCTGTTTGCAAAGGAAGAGTGGTCCAAAATTCCGGGTGAGAGGTGTCAGAAGCTTATTGATGGTTATAGGAAGCGACTGATTTCAGTTATGTTTTCCAAAGGGTGTGCAACCAAATATTAAGTTAAGGGTGCCAATACTTTTGTCCAGCCCATTTTTGGGGTTTTGTGTGACATTATGTCATATTTGCTTTTCTGCCTCTGTTTTATATTTGTTCCAATACATACAAAGGGAATAAACATGTGTATAGCAAAACATGTGTTAATGCAATACCTTTTTTGTGTGAAATACTTGATTTTCAGGAAAAATATCAAGGGTGCCAACAATTTCGGCCATGACTGTATAAAGGCAAAATTTTATTTTTGGTTTGGGATGGAGAGAACACCTGTCAGGTTTATATTGCTATCTGCACCCTTGTTAGAGAAATTCACCCTCTCTATTTGTCCTATTTACCATTATCGTCAAAAGTAAAAGTAAACCAAAATCCCAAATTTTGGGTTTTCCACAGACAAGTAAAAGAGGGGAAATCCTCTAGTGGGGCCACTAATTCTGGTGACATGGGGGGAGCCCAAGGGTTTCCTTAATTTACAGAGATTCCCTCTCACTTCCCGTTTTGGTCATTGGGCAGGAAGTTAAATTAAATCTCCCCAATGGTACACATGGCAAAAAAACTGTTAGGGGCTGCAGTGGGAGACCCATCCATTTGTGGATTGAAGAATCAGATTTTTTTCCTTCGGTCTACATATGCTCATTTGGTCGAGGATTCCTCCTACCTTAACCACTGCTCCACTTTCAACCTTCACCATTTTACTGGCTGGAGTGACAAGAAAGTTGTAATATGCCACCTTCCACTGTCAGCTTTGATCTTCTGACTACACTGCTGTGAGTTCTACCACTGGTAAAGTGATGACAGGGGGCACTCACTTTTTCATTTATCTCCTTGGCATCAAGCATACACAAATATGTGGCCTCACGGCAGCTGGACCTTGGGCATATTTGCATACCCAATGTAGACACAATATGTGCTGAGAGAACACACCCCACACGCTCCCGACGCCTCATGGAAAGATCCCGTTCGCTACTTGCTGTCGGGAGCTTTCCGATCACGTGACCGCCATGACAGCCAATCACGACGGTCACATGACCCTAAACCCTGCCCCAAAGTCGAACTAAAGTAATTACAACAGCTTGCTTAAAAAAAGTTATTTTAGGATGTAATTATGATTACAGAGATGCACGAATTAGATTTTTTATATCTACCAAACAAAAATACAGTACTCAAAAATGAATCAACCCATTAACATGTATCATATTATGCAGCAAATCACATGTGATGACTGGTCATCCAGCACTACAAAACAATCGCTCAGTCTGTCTGGGTCTCTGTATGCCACAATCCCAAATTACGTGCTCTTGCAAGTGCTATACGTGATGATGTCACTCTGCCTGTATTCCAGCCAGCACGTCTCGCCACATCAACACTTTCTTAAGCCTGGTAAGCTCTCTGTATGTAAATCTTACATAAATCATAGACCAGCTATGACTCGGACCTAAGTTATCACCCCCAGAGAAAAGAGCTTAGAATCTAGAAATAAAAAGGAGCTCTACTTCTAAAACCAAAGCTCCCACGATATTACAGATTGTCCTATTACTAATACACCTCTCAAAAAATTTAACATTCATCTTAATTAAGCTGGATTAATCAAGTTATGTCATCGAAAGGAGGAGCTCTTCTATACATGGCTTTTGGAGTTTTAGGCAAAAGGGGTCCCAAAAGCTTACCTTTAACTACTTGTCCTCCGGAATATTTACCCCCCTTTATGACCAGGCCATTTTTTATTATTCGGCATTGCACTACTTTAACTGGTAATTGCACGGTTATGCAATGCAATGCTGTACCCAAAATTTATATCATTTTTTTTTCACACAAGTACTTTTCTTTTCGTGGTATTTGATCACCACTGTTTCAATATGTAGGTAGAACAGGGAGGTGTTTGAAAACTAGAATAGGTGAACATATTGGTAATATCAAAAGAGGTTTTGACAAACATAGTGTGCCAAGACATTTTAAATTAAAACATAAATTGTGATCCTAGTCTACTCACGTTTTATGGTATAGATAAGGTTAAACAACACTGGAGAGGAACTGATATGATCAATGAAATATCAAAGAAAGAAACATATTGGATATATGAAATTAATTCTTTAAAACCTAATGGTTTAAATATAGACATTGATTTGAACTGCTTTCATACAAATTTTTAATGTTTTATTTTGCTTTTTTAGTTGAGAAACTCACGGGTAGAGTTCTTCTTTAATGAATGTACTGGCCGTTTATATGTATTTTGTTGCAGAAACTATATATATATTTTTTCTGGTGATATGATTCACGATTGATTAGTAAGAGCTGGAAGATGAAATGATTCTAATTTGACAGTTTTGACAATATGGGGAATCTATTATCTTCTTCCTCTTTCCGATGTTTTTGTAGAGTTGTATTGATCTTTTAAATTATATTTTTATTATATTCAACTGTTTATGGATATTCTCATGTTGGTAGTTGCTCGTAATTATGGGAAATGTGGTACACGGTTTCGAAT